CTTTGCACCATTTCAACAGCAGAGAGGCACCAGAGCAGGTGCCAGGATCTGGCCCTGCCTCTTTTCAGAGGGGCTCTGTGCACATCTGAGAGGATCAGCCCAGGTTTCAGCAGTGCTGTTTGTCTGCCCAGAAATATCCTGACACCCCCAGGCTCCTCACCCCTCCATACCAGAGAAACTCTTTTGACACTATGTGAGGAAGGAAAGCCAGAACCCAGAGGGTTTACACTGACTATCTACAATCTATCCAGCTCCAGACTATTTCTCTGGGGGTATTTCAGGGGTTGCAGCCCTGCCTGGAGCACCCCAGGTGGCTGGAATGGCGCAGAGAGAGACAGAAAGCATCTCTGTGCTGCAAAAAGTCAGCAGGCTGAGCCACAGCCGAACCTTGCCATTCTGTAGCTATCCTTATTTTGGAAATGGCACACAGCTCCCATGGATGGGGAACCCACAGTGCCAGCCAGGAGGTTCCTCTGGCAGCAGCTCCAGAAGTGCTGTGGACGTTGGTGGTGCCTTAATCTCTACATCACAGCACTGAAACCCTATCGCTGTACTGACAGGTTTTATTGGCTTGATTAGCTTGTTATTTGAAATAGTTCTGTATTCTGCTGGGGTTATTTTGTTAGTATGGATGAATGCTTCATTTAAACCAACACAACCAGACTGATGGTAAAAAGTTTCATGTTTTTCATTTTGGGTGAACAGCTACAGTCAGCAGCATCCATTCATTTTCACTATGAGCACCAAAACTAACAGCCTTTCTAACCTGACATCATAACCCCTCTGCTAAATGAGCAAAATCCTCTGCCACCTCTGAGAGATGTGATGGTGATGGAGCCAGTCTCAGCAGCTCTGACATGCTCCCTGCAGATGAGCAGGGTGGGGAGAATGAAGGGAGGATGGAGCACACACAAAAGCTTGAGAGTTCAGTCATGGAGAGTTTCTGACTGGAAGCCCAAAAATTGGTATCTGTAAGAGCAGGTGAAGGAAACAAGTTGTCCCAGAAACTCCACACTCCTCTAAACAGATCAGTATCTGCAGCTTCTGATACTGAAAAGAATATTTGCTAAGGAATGCACCCCCACACCAGCAAGGCTGGCACCAGCCCCTGCAAACGTGGCAGCGACAGCCCGTCTCCCTCGTCCCCCCAGCCATGAGAAAAACATACAGCAAGTTAAATTATCCCTCTGAAGTGGTGGTGGTGCTGGAGCAGAATGTGCTGCCAACACCTGCTGAATGGGCACAGGCTGGCACTGTGGTTTGGGGCTGGGAAATGAGCAATGGGCAGCTCTCCCCTCGCCCCTGCCTGCTCACATCCCCGCAGGCACAGTCACTGTGCATGGCAGTGCCCATCAATACCCATCACTGTGTGCTCCCTGCCAGCCAGGCCACACAGCTATCCCTCAGACCACTCATTCAGCACTTAAATATCACAACAAGTGCTTCGACAAATTGATGTGAACCCAGCTGCCCAGTGGACAAACCCTGCTACCTTCCAGGGCCTGAGAAGGTGAACAGGCAGGAAGCTGATCTCCAATCTTCCTCCGTTTCTGAAATGCCTTTTTTTCCTTTTCTTTTCTTTTTTGCTTTAAATTATGCACCCCAAAGGAGCAGAGCTAAATCCATACAATCCCGGGGAGTTCATGTTCACAGCCCACCAACCAAATCCACTCAGAGCTCACAGAGGAGCAGCAAAGATGCCCGAGACAGGAAAACCCTGCAGCCTTTTGATAGCAGTGCTGAGGCACAGGAGGCAATTCTTCCTTGTCCCTGCACCACAGGGGGAGGGAGCATCCTTCCTGCACCACCCACAGTCACCTGAAACTGCATCAAAGCCAGAGAGCAGCATCTTGCACCTCTCTGCATCAGTGTAGCTGCAGGGAGAGCTGGGCTCTGCCCCCAGGAGCCACAAAATACACACGGCAAAATGTGAGGTAGGTTTGGAGGTAACACCATACGTCTGTGCAAACAAACATACTCAGCATCTTCTTCTCTCGCTGCTAACTTTGCTTCTTCCTCACACAGAAAGTTTCAGGCAGAAAGTTAAAAATACACATAAATAAATACAGATTGTTTACCCCTTGTGAGAGTTTTGGAAAGTTTCTCCCAGCAGCCAGCCTAAATCTCTGCTGCAACTAAAAAAAACAGCTGGTTCCTTCTCAGGCAATTTCACACCTCATTGCCAGGGCTCCCACCAGGGAAGCCGCATAGAAAGGTGGCACCTGCCATGGGACAGAGGGAGCAGGGACAGAAGGACAGACACAGATGGCAGCAAAGCAGATCAGCTTCTCAGGGAAAGCCCATTGCCAGCGGCTCCGTGCTGTGCTGGGCACCCTGGCAGGGCACCTGTGAGGGTAGAAGTGGCAGGAAAAGGGACATGGCAGGAACAGGGAGACCCCAGCCACAGTGACTTTGTCAGGGGCTCGGTGTTACCTCTGCTGTCCTGTGGTGTCATTGGAATTATTCCCATTTCACAGATGGGAAACCTGAAATTCTGAGACCTGCAGGAGGACAGGGCTTGTAACCAAACCCTGACCTGACCCAGGCTGGTGGCAGACAGTGCCCTTCAGCTCACTCAGTGCCCATGTGAAGTTGTGCCAGAAGAGATTTCATGGAGAGATTTAGTAATGCTTTAACTTTACTGTCACCAGCTTTCTTGCTTCCTACTTCACCTATTTTTTTTTTTTCCTGTGTTACTGTCCTTGGGTTCAGACAGTATTATAAACACAGGCTAAAGCCATCTGTGCTCATCTCTCAGCAGACAGGCCCACAGAGGGTCAGGCAGGGAGGGCGGCAGATGCAGGCTGAGGCACAAGCCGGCCAGGAAGGCAGTGAGGCTGCGAGGGCAGCCCTGCTCCCTTGCCCCACGCTTTGTAAGAGACTCAGAAGCCCCATTTCTACACCCACTGCCTCACCATCTGCTCACTAAGCCCTGCCTGAGAAGGGCTTTTGCCACCCAGCCCCAGACTGTTGCAAAGGGAGATGTAATCTTCATTTCCTGGCAGTGCCAGGGTGATGGGTTCACAAGAAATGGTACCCCGGCTTCAAGCAAGTGTTTTCAAAGGTGGGAAATGCCTCCAGAGGGGCAGGAGCAGTGGTGACACAAAGAGAGACTGCTCAGGAATCTGCAGCTCAACCTGAGGGTGATTCAGGAGATCCCCAGCCTGCTCCTGCAGCACCAGACAATTCCCGTGACTGACAGGCATGGAGCTGGCGCTAACAGCGAGTGAATCGCAGCTGTCAGGAGCCAGGGTAATTCACGGTGCCGTTTGCTGGGGAGAGAGCTACTGCTGGGCTATTTATCACTCCTTCACGGCATGCCCTGCTCCTTCTGGCTGTGCCTGACATCATTCACAAGCACCTGTGGCTGCTGAGCCCGGGCTGCACGGAGCAAAGCCTGCACCCCCGAGCCGGCCAGCCAGGCACTGTGGGCTGACAAATGGCTCTTCCAGCATGTGGACAGATAGTCCGAGCTTTTCAGACTCCTAACAAAGGAAATGCATTCCTCTACTGACTCTCAGGAGTCATCAAGGTCACAGGAAAAGATGCCAGACTGAAAGCTGAGATGAAATTAAATATTTTTTTTTCTGTCCGCTGAGGAATCTGCACAGCTTTCAACAAATAATAGGTGAGCGGTTTGCTGGCAAGTTGCAGATTTTATCTTCACAAGGTTGGTAGCAGGTAAGACAGCATTATTCTCTCCCAGTTTGGAGGGCAAACCAATACTTGGAGTGGCACAAAGAAGTAGCTGAGCTGGGAACAGACCCAAATCTCCTTCATTTCCATGCAGTATCCTAGTCACAAAGCTGCTCTCACAAGCACTGCTAGTTAGGAGCTTTCTAATCCACTGCAGGCTACATTCCAGCTGATATCCCTAGCTATACATTGGTCTAGTCTGGATACATCCTACAAAAGCACGCCTTGGGTTTGTGAAGAAAATGAAAAGGTTATAAATGTACTTTCTCACATTTCCTGAAATTTTACAGCTCCATGCAACTAAACTTAACCCCAAGTTCCAAAGCACAATATTCTCTCCACATCAGAAATTAAAAGATAAAATTTGACAGTCCAGCTTAGGCAGGCAATGAATGCTAAAACCCACTTAAAACCTACGCAGGATTAATTTGACATATTGGATTCCTTATACCACCTGCAGACACTCAGTGCTTTCCAAACTCATTGAGAATTAGTCATCCTTAGAGCTATGTGCCTTCTTTGGTGAGTAAGTGAGCCAGTTTACTGAATGACACTTGAAACATCCCTGCTTGTTCTGGGAAAAATAAGGTTTATCCTGTGCTGGAACCACATTCAGCACAATCTGTAAAGCACGAAACTAGGCATTTCTTGTGATAATAGCACTGAAGATGTGGCATAAAAGGAAGAATTTGACTCTATACGTGACTAATCTGACAGTCTGTTGGCGACTAGAAAAGGAGGGTATTTACAGAGAGCTGACAGCATCTGTCCCCACACCTGACAGGGGTCAGTGTCTAAGGAGAGATGAGAGCATTGCTGGAGACAAGCAGGAGGCAACCCAGACCCCAAAGATCACCTACAGGAGCCCCCGTTTCCCACCTGGATGGGTGTACACATGTGGACAGCACTCCTGGTGTCCCCCAAAACCCTTCTCAAGTTCCTCGGTGAAGTTTGCACCGCTCGCCTTCCAGTCTGTCCACACAGCCACAACGTGTTTACACTTTCCCACCCACCATTCCCATCCCAAACCTTCACCCACTGAAGCAGCTGTAGGACGGTGAGCTGGGCAAGGTTAAAAAGGAAAAGGAACTGGGGGGGAGTGTTACACTTCCCAGCAGAGCCAGCTCTGGTGATGTCGGGATGCTCAGCACCCACAGCAGCGGTGCCGTGGGGACAGCGCGGGGTCCCACGCCACGAGAGACCCGCACCATGCGGACCCCGTGCTCTCCGGCCGCTGCCGGGACGAAATCCCGTCCGTCCCTTTCTCCCCATCCCTATCCCCATCCCCATCGCGGGGCACTCACCCGGGCTGCCGGCGGGAAGCGAGGAAGGGCGGCCGAGACGGTTTCGGGACGGAGGAGGAGGAGGGGGAGGTGGAGGAAGACGCCGCGGGGAGGCGAGGGGCAGCGGGCCGGCCGGCGGGACCGGGACCAGCCCCAAGCCCAGCAGCAGCAGCAGGGTGCAGGCTGCCGGCATGGCGCTGGGGGTGGATGCAAGGGGAGCCGGGGGGGGGGGGGGGCAGGGGGGTGGCTGTTCACATACCCGGAGCGGGGCAATGAATAACCACGTAAATAGCGATTTTTTAATGAATTCCCCGTGCCCCCCCCTCGGGGCGGCGCCTTAAAAGTGCGGGGTGCCCATAGCGGAGGGGGTGAGGGGGGGGCCCGGCCAGCAGCGGCAGCAGCCTGCGGCCAAGTGCCGGCGCCCGAAAGTAAAAGGGCAGGCGGCGGAGGCTCCTCCTCGAGCCTGACATCACCCAGCCGCGGCTCGGCTCGGCTCGGCATGGCCCGACTCCCCACGGCCCCCCCCACCCCGGCACGGCCCGGCCCGGCCCCCAGCGGCCGCCCTCTCCCGCCCCGCGCAGCCGTCGGGCCGCCCGCTCCCTCACCCGGCTGGCTGCGGCAGCACCGGGACTATTAGCACTAGTAATAATAATAATAACAATAACGCTCCTTTTACTTCTACTTTATTTTTCCTGCTGCATCTCCAAACCGCGCTGGGCGAGCGTGACCCCCTGCCCGCCGGCGCGGAGGTGGCCCGGTTCGGTTCCGCGTTAAACACGGGCAGCGCGCAGGGCCCGCAGCCGGCGGGCACGGCGGCCCCCGCTATGGCAGGATCACCCCCCTCTCGCATTGCTCTGCCCCGAACTTAAATCCCACCGAAATCGAGTCCTTGACAAATAACTTCAGCTTTTTTCTTGCTTATAAAGCTGACTCCCTTTTGAACGCCGGCAGCAGCGTTTGAGGGTGCAGTTTCTGGCAGTGGTGAATTTCCCAGGCCGGGCTGTACGGGAGGCAAAGGATTTCCCTTCATTGTTCTGAAATTCCCCTTCATAATTTCATGCTCCTAGCTCTGGGAGGGAGCACGCCGTAGAGCAGTGGGCTGGGCTTTGCCAGGGCTGTCGGCATCCCCATGTGCCGGGTTTAGGGTCCTCCTGAGCTCTCCCTCTCCAGGGGAGCACAAACCCGTCCTGGCCCACCTCTCCCCTGGAGTCGCTCCTGGGCCCTGCACTTTTCCCTCGAGCTGCTTCAGAACCAGACCTGATTTCCTCAAGCCAAGCAGAACCCGACCTTCCGGAGGGGAGGGTGGCTGGTGACAACTCGCCGCGTGCCGCCGGCTGCAGCACCGAGCAGGCCCGGGGTCCGCTCCACAGCCCCCCGCTGCCTGCTTTGCTCTTCGCCGAAAGCAGAAGTCGGAGGCTGACGTACACAAACTCTCCTGGAAGCCTCTTTCCACCCAAGAGGTGGCACTGATGAGCCCACACCAGCGCGCCAAGGGCCTTGGCTTTACCCCACAGGGCTCTCCTCTGCCCCCGGGCTTTTCTCTCCATGCCACCTCTGAGGAATCCCTCTATCAATCCATGCTCTAGTCTACTCCCTACAGCTTTTGCCATCTTCTTGCTTCAAATTTGCCTAAACCCAAGGAACAAGTCAAGCTGCTCAGTTTTGGACATGAAGCACAAACCAATCATGATTATGCTTTTGTCATGCAAGTAACCACCCCAATCCTGGCAAATGGAGTGACCCAGAAGCCACAGGCAACACCAAGGTGCCTCATCAACAGAGGGCATTTTTAGGCCTCTTCATTCTCTGTCCAGGTATTTACATGTTCTGTATGGAATAGTTGTGCAAAACAAAGCTTCTGTCTTGATAAGACAGAGAGACCAATACACAGCTAAAGCTCAGGGGAAGAGCTGTGAAGTATTTTGATACTTTGGGAGATGCCACAGGTAGTGCAGTGCAGCAGCTCAAACACTTGGGGATATCTTTCTACATAAAATACAGGACTCCATGCTAGCAATTATTAAGATAGTAAGTAATAAATATGATTCTTTAGAAAGTTTTGTTAGTCCCTGGAAAGAAGCACCTTCCAACCAGCAAATCTGACGTTTTTAACTGTGCAATACACATAAGGCAGTAGGGCCACAGAAACCTCTCTGAGGCCAAGGATGCATTCTCAGGGCAGCAGGGGCCAAATGAAAACCAAACTTTGCCCTGACATGAAATGGATGTTCTCCTGTCCACTCACTCTCATGCCTGAGGGCCCTAATACCAAGTCTAGAGCTCACTCCCTTTCCCCCACCTTTTCCCAGAGACTTCCCTAACATCTGAGCCACACAGCAGCTCCCCACTCTTACTGCATCCTTCCAAGCTGTAAATCCAACAAGCAGGAAGCACAGTATCAAATGCTTTTCCAAAAGGATCTCAATAAATTCTTCCTACTGTTTCCCTCAACAGGCCCATGGAGAGCCATAGCTGACACAGGCAAATGCAAACCAAACACTTCTGCAGGAACAGCCCATGTGGAATGGTATTGAATGGCTCTGTGCCCCCATAGCACGGCCTACTCTGCAGTGCCACTAGCCAGGAAAACAGGGAAGGCTGAATTAACCTCCTCTGCCTGTGGGGGAAGGGGGTAGCTGATATCCTCCCAAAATCTGCCATTAAACCTGCCTGACCTGCTGCATTTCTGAAGCACACAGGGCACTTGTGACCACGATGGGGTGACCATGAGGGGTGTGTGCCCGAGTGCAGAGCCAGCAGCAGGAAACACTGGCCAGTGGGCCCTGTGTGCCCTTGGATGAGCCACATCCTGCAGGGCTTGGTATAGCTGGGACAGGAATGCCACTGCAGCCTCTGAAGCCCATGGCAGTGGTGAGCTGCCTTCACCAGACCCAGCCAAGGCCCCACATGTATGAACCCATGGGCCTAAACCAGCACTCACCATCAGAAAAAAATCTCCCTGCTCTCTCCATCATGGTTCCATGAGCAGCATATTATTTACGAGCACCTGGAAAGGAAGCACCGACATTCAGGCAGTTTCAGACTTCCTAAATGCAGTCCCTTCCCCCACAGGTGTCTGATTTGTCAAGGTTTAGTGCCTGTAAATTTAAAGCTACCATGTTTTCCTGCCATCTTATTTTTTATCCCTACCTTCAGGGTTTCGTAAGGAATATAAGGAGTCAATTTATGACTGATATTTTTGAGCTCCAGTTTCAACAGCCACGTGAAAACAACAGAGAAAAAAAACTCACTTGTTTGGTTTTTATTCAAAAAATACTCTTTTACCCATTGGAGCTGCAGAGGGCAGTGTGGAGGGGATATGAACCCTGCCACCCATGTGATGAGTTTGACACCCTTGGGGGCTGGGAAAGAAGCTTCAGTGGTGGGAGAAGGAAGAACTGCAGCAGGATGAAGGTGGCTGTGTGGAGCACAAGGTCTCAGTGAAGGCCACCAGCACTTGGCTTTTCCCCATGTGGTGCTGGAGTTGTTTATCCCCATGGCACACCACACACTCCGCTGCAGCATCCTGCTGATGCTGCTCCCAGGGCAGCTCCAGGCCGAGGGCTGCTCCACACCCTCCTTGTAATAGGAGATTTAAATGCATGAAATCATGTCTGAGGAGCCAGATGGGCCAGGCAAAGCCTGATGTCGAGTAATGCCCCAGCATCCTCCTGAAAGAGGCTGTGACCTCAAACGCCTCCCCAAATCATGTACAGAGCACGTTTAGCACTTCCATCTGAAAGCAAGCAGCACATTCCACACACAGCAAAGGAGTTAAAAACAAACAAACAAACAACCTCATCAACACAGGAAGCCTCTAACAAAGCTATATGTAAAACATGATTGAAATTGATTAATTGAAACCTGCCCATCACCTTGTTTTGGGGGAGGGAAAAACAGAGTGTGTTTTTATTTCACCTCGATTTCCATTTTCCAGGTTGAGGGGCTACAGACATATGACAAAATTCTACATTGTTTTGGTCTGAAATCCCAAAAAACCACAAGAGTCTCTACAGAAGAGGCATCTCTGTAGCACTTTGTGAGGATTACAGTAACCAGTCCCTTCCTTCTGGTTCCATAGGAACCTTTCACGGCACAGCCAATGTCATGAAACTCCTGCAGCTCCCTTGAAACTCATCCCAGATCTGTCCAAAACTTGGATCAGGCTCATAAACCTCAGACAAGTTTTAAGCTGATGATGAATTAAGGTACAAAGTGAATATTTTCTCCTCCTGGAATTTGTTATTAAAAGCCCTGAGTTTCCAAAGTGGACAAATAGTTCCTGAGTAATTAATTACCTTCACATCTCCTCTTGATGCCACAAACCATCCATTAACAGACACCAATCATCCAAAAGGCACTTAATACGTGACCATTATTCCTGAAATTTTGGGGTTGGTGGTATTTTATTGATTTATTTAAACAAAAACTGCTTGCCTCGTACCTCCATTGGAAGCAGCTTGTTCCAGGTATTTGACATTTGGAGGTCAGGATGGATACAGGTCTTGTGATCCCTCTTCATCCCTCACAGAAAAATGCACAACTTGATATTTCATTTTGAATCCTGTCACTGGAAAAAAGAATCCCTTATTTTCTGAGGGGAAAAAAATGAACCAGCCATCCAAATCTATCCGGGAAGAAGCAATTCTAAATTTCTTATTTATTTCTTTCAGGACCTTTTTCCACCAACTCTGGTTTGGAGCACACCCAGATATTCTGCAGCTGAGCTAAACACTTCAGAGCAGTGCCCTTAAATCTGGAAAGAAGCCCCCAGTGAAATTTAGAAGAGACACTTGGATCCAATGAAGTTACAGGTGTGCTCCTCTATCACCAAGTTTCTGGGAGCACCCGTGGTTCTGTTTGCTCTTGCATAAGGAGGGCAAATCCCAGGTATTGGGGGATATGAGCACAAAAATCCTGTGAAAAAAGCCACGAGGAGCAGAAGGCAGAGAGGAAAGGAGCCTCTCCTGTGCCGAATGGGCTTTAAAGTGATTTATTTTTAGCCTGCAGTTTGCTGCTAGAGCCTCTCATCCGTAGCTTTTAAGGCTGTTACCGCTGAGGTCTCACCTTGTCTCAGGTTTAAGGGATGCTGTGCCAAATCTGGGTTGCAGCAAGACACCACTGCAGAACATAACAAGAGCATTATATTCCACTTTCATACAGAGCTAACAAATTTATAGGTTGTCTACAAAATCTCCTCTCTTTTATCCCTGTAATTACCCTCTCTAAAATTCACCAGGCAAGGGCATTAATTCAAATAACTTCAATTTCCCACTAACCTAAATGTTAATCCTAGGCTGGCTCTTGTGCTTCAGCAAATCTCTTCTGACCTTGCAGGTGTATGATGCTGTTTAAGAAACTTTGCCTGTCTGAATTTAAATCAGAGCCACATGGGTGAGAACAAACCACCTCATAAGGCACAGAAAGCCCCCTGTGCCTTAATTCAGCCATGAACACAAGCATCATTTCATATTTCACCCTTCTTTGCTGCTTCAATGCTGTGGTCACAACTATCTGCTGTGAAGAAATGGCCATGGCAGGGGTGTGATATTTTAGCCACCATACACAGAAATAACCATTGAAGGAAACTCAAGGCTGATCAAGAGAAGACAAGAGGAGAGTGGGGGAAAAAAGACAAGTTTGAGCTAAGATATGGGTTTAATGAACTTAATTCTCCCTGTGCAGATTCCTAATGGGACACAGATCCATGTGGATGACAATTTATACCAACTGAGAAGCTGTCTCTTAATGCCAATATCACAACAATTTTTCTGCCCATTCTTAGTCCTGACTATTTGTGCTGGCAGTTTTTTGAGGCATAAAATTCCAATTTCTGGACCCTCTTAGTGCTAAGGGATCATAAATGCAGCATGAGCTTCCAGGCAGGACTGCAAAGCAAGTAATAAAATATTTATCCTCACCCGCCTTCTGTGCTTCTATGCTCTGCAAAGGAAACCATCAAAAGTGGAGCCACCAATTTACAGCTGGAGCCTTCAAAAGGAACCAAACTGTGCACCACATCCACATCTCTCTCAAAAACAAATGTTTTCACACCTTGACCCTTTGCAGAACATAATAATAATAATAACACTAATAATAATAATAATAATAATAATATCAAATTTCAAACAAAAAGGAAAATAATTATAGGATGATAAAAAATCTCACATGGCTTAAAAAGCAGTAAGGCCTTCCATAATTACAGTAGCCAAGCTGCAACCTTGATATACAACAAGGCATCTGATGCTCAGAGCTGGGCCCCAAACTCACCTTCAGGGAACCTGAAGCTTCATGAAATCCCCAGGATGTGGAGGCTCAGCTGGGCTCTCAGGGGATGAAAGCAGCACATTTCCATTCACAGGAGCAGTCCCCACCCACATTTCTTCCCTTCAGGCACTAAATGTGAAGATGATAAATTCCTGCCCAACTAATTTCACCCTTTTTTTTTTAGTAGAGTGCAACCAAAGCTACAGCCATTTTTGAAGTGACACCATGATCTTTAGCTGTACAACTGCTTGCTTGCTTTTTTTCCTGCTGGAAAAGTTTCCTTGGTGCAAAGCCCTGTGTTCCTGTAGTGTCTCATGGTGTTTCCAATGCTGCCCAGACTTCAGGATTATTGGTGCTAAAACAAGGCTTCCTGCCACTCTTACCATTAACTACACCCAAGCTAATGCTGCAGGCAAGATCAGCATGCCCTTTCCAAGCATTACCCAGGAAGGTTGTTGTACTCTTCACCTGTGATGCAGCCAGGATTGTGTGATGCATTTGCCCCTGCAGCTACAAGGGAAGGAGCAGGTGCCTGTGCTTACCAGGTGATGGAAGGAGCTGCTTCCTGCTGTGGTGGTGGAGGTGCCAGTGAAGGAGGTGGTAGAGTTTCTCCAGCAGCAGCACATAGAGCCCCCAGAAACCCCTGGAACAGTGTGCTCTGCAGAGCCTTCCCTCCACTGCCAGGTGTCAAGAGCAGCAATAACCATCCAGCGCTGATGCCAGAGCCACAGGTCCCTTTCTCCAGACACACCCCATCCCTGCACCCAGAGCTCTCCAGGTGTCCCCTCCCCAGGCCCCTGCATGGCACAGCACACTGCCTCTCCCTGGCAGCCAGCAGAGGCCTGGCCAGCACACAAACACAACTGGAATGTTCCAGAGGTGCAAAGGGCTCCTGGATGGTGGTGGCAGGAGGAGACAGCTGCTGCACACTTAGCTGAAAGCAAAGCTGGGGGACCTCCTCCCACCACTGCTAGACCAAGGGCCCATCACATCCCAGTTTTGGGGACAAGCAGGGGCCACAGTGTTGAAGAGGCAAACACTCTCCACCAAATTATCTGTTTTCAACCAGTGCAACTCCTCAGCCAGCGAGATACACAGCCAAGGACCTTCCCCACCCTCCCTCTCTGGATCTCCTAAGTCATGTCGTATTTTAAGAAGGGAATTAAATTATTTAGTAGCCAACAAAGAAGCTATCTAGGAATTTCTGTCTATTAATCTCTTCATGCCATGCTCTGGGGTTTTCTTTTGTTCAAGCTACAGAGAAACGCGGGGCTGAGCAATCCTTGACTCGGGAGGAAAGGGGCCACTGTAACACAGCACCAAGCAGCTTACCAACAGTGGGACAGCACCAAGGAGTGTTTGAAGTTTGCACAACAGGGGTATCTGCCAAGGTTAAGCATGCTACAAGCACAGGGAGGGCTCTCTGGAGCCACTGGCCCCAGGAGAAGCTTCAACATGGGCCCAAAATCCACAGAGCAGATTCAGATTCTTTGGAAACCACCAGCAAGAAACAGGCAGGAAGGAATCCTGGAAAGGTGTTTCCAACACTGAGTGACTGATTCGAGGTGGGTCAGAGCAGGTCACACAAACACAACTTTCCTCTTGCCTCTGTTGAGATAATTAAAGTTAAAAGCACTTAGTCCAAGACCTGCAACCTTGAGAAATGAATACACTTTCTGCAGTGCGCCAAGCCTTTCTGCAGGCTCTTTTCTCCATGTCAGCAGAAAGCCTCCTGTGCCTCCCTCTGTAAAAGAAAGGAAAGAGCCAAAGCTGCAGCTGGCCAGGCCATGGGATGGGACTCCCCTCACCCAGCAACACCAGGACAATTAGCACTGGCAAGTGGAATGGTGCTCAAAGGCATTGAGAGTGCCCACAGAAAGAATGGAGAGGAGTTCCTGGTGTCTCAGGCTTTTATTGCACAGAAGGAGAAATAAATAATCTAAAGGTTGAAATTATCAGAGATGAAACAAAGTGAAAGGCAGTGATTTCCCCCTCCTCATAATGTCAGAACTGATGTGTGGTGCTGGGGGTAAAGTTATTTTGCTAAAGCAATTCTGAACCATCTGTCCCTTCAGCCAGGAGATGCTTTAAGTGGGCCCAGCTATTTCATCAGGTCTCAGCTCTCACATCAGAAAGGATGTGGGAAATAACTATGAACAGCTTCTAAGACATAATTTCACAGTTTTACAGAAGAGGTCATTATCCTGCATTGCTGCACTTAAATGTGCGATTTCAGTTGTGAATATACTTCATAATCTTCTTATACTTGCCACTGATTCTGGCCTATTGTCTAATGTCTTAAAATACTTTCTAAGACCTTGATAATTGAAATGCTGAGGTAGAAAATTACTGTATTACAAGCAGGGAAATTCATGCCTAGAGGAGAAGTGAATTGACCTGGAAGGTCGCATCCATCCGTGGCACAGCTGGGAGTGGGGCACTGGCTCCTGCTGCCAGCGTCACTGCTCCCAGGCAGAGTGTCCCCGGTCACCCAGAGGACATCTGAAATGGGGTGTTGTAAGCTTTTAGAGCAGCAACCTTTTTTAGAACTCAATAGAGCTTAAAATTGAATTCCTTAAAAGGGTTATACTGTCTTCAGTAACTCATCACTTCCCAGGCTGGCCCTTTCATTTCCATTTTCTCCCCTCAGTTTGGGTAAGGTTTGAAGCCCAGCAATGCTATGGCTTGCATAAACAAACAAGCCTCAAATATATAAATAGCAATTCACATCCTTTGTGCGTACATTCAAGTATTTCAAAAGGCACCCGTGGCAGCCATTAGCACTTCTAAATGCTTTTTGAAGTAATGGATTGATTTTTTTTGTGTGTGTATGTGGTGTGTCCTTCACTGGAACTGGCTCCCAAATTCCTCTCTGCTGATGAGCGAGGACTGGTGGTAGCGGTCCCGCGAGGCAAAGTCTGCGTTCTCCTCGGTGAGCTGCCTGGTCTCCATGCCAACTGTAGCAAAGGATGGTGTCACCACGATCTGCTCCTTGGGAGCTGGCCTTCTCCTGCAAGCAGAGAAGCAGAGGTGCCTGCATCACCCCCTGTTTGTTATCCATTGCCAGCCATGCTCTCGGCTGTGCCAGCAAGGCAGGGTGATTCCAGAAGAGGCGAAATCCTCCCCGGTGCCCCTTGGAGGCACAGAGTTAACCTGAGAGCATTTTTCTTAGAAGGCACAAAAGAAATGTTCTCCCTTTCCCCAAATATACACTGCAAAATAAACATTTTCATAACAAATAGGTTTCCTCTTTGGATATTGACTGTGTCAACACCTTCCACACCAAGCAAGAGAAGAAGGAGCACAAACCATTTCTAATGAAAAATATCCTTTTTATGGTCTCCTAAGCAATAAAAGAATTGTAATACTTTTTGTAATTTTTAAATAAAACAGGAGATTTCCCTGCAATCTCTTCATCCCAGAAGCTGATTTTAAGAAAACCTTATTGGCATTTTTAAATCAAAACTGTAAGACAAATATAGCACTGACTAAGACCTCATCAAGCACCTAAGAGCCTTAGAGGTGTCAAGAACCCTTGGCTGCCTCCAACTCCTTTGCAGCTGAAAGGAGCTTATTATTTTTCTCCAATTCTTGACTGGATTTCAGGAAAACAGGGCTCAGAAAAAACCTCTAAATTACTTCAATGCAGTTTTTTGCAGCAGAACATAGATGGGCTTCAAAATGACCCGACTCCCAAGCAGAGCCCAAGGTGTCTTTGTGCCAGTAAGAGCAGGAGCCCTGGCACTAGGAAAAGGTGACAAAGCTGGCTGGCTGACCCAGGGATTGCACTCTTTGAGAGGAGACAACCAGCATCAGTTTCTGCCTTGCGCACTCACCAGATCTCCCCTCAGCCTTTCTTGGCAGGGCCTGAAATTGCACTGACCAAAGAACCAAGGACTTTGTTGGTCTGGTAACCCAAAGATAAAATCCCCCTGTGACAACAGCCCCTCTCCTTTCCACGTGTGGTTATTCTCCATGAAGCCCCACACCTCAACCAGACTCCCACAGGGATTTCTGACAACGGGCAGGAGGCACAACTGAGATGCACCAAAGGACAGCTGAGAGGAAACTGCTGTTCTGTCATCACAGAGGCACCGAGATAAAATGACCAGCCACAAATCTGCCTGGGGTATGAAGCAGCAGGGTCTGGCTCACTGTGCCATGAGTAATTCTGGCAGCATTTCACATGGCCCCACTTACCCTCTTCCTGTCTTAACTCCTCACCCTTGGCTTGGGCTCGTGTCACCAGTCCAGCAGATGTTGTGCAAGGAGATAGGGGACAATCCCTTGCTCAGAATGAGATATTCAGAAAGTATATGTGGCGGTGCATCCCACTCCCCCTGCCCCTCGGGCTGCACTGTGATCTCAGAAATGCTTGTTGGGGCTCAGCCCTGAGAAACAGCACCTGGGCTCAGCGCCTCCTGAGCTTATCAGAGACACTGTCTGCTCCAGGGAACTAATGCTGACAGCTCCTGGTTTTTAATGAATATCCTTGGAAACTTATTTTTCTTGCATGAGTAAAAACCCAAGTGGAACAGCCTTTTTGTTATAGAGCATTCAAAGAAAGTTACCAACAAAAAATTGTGGCCAGGATGGAAAATTACTATGACCAAAACCAACTCTCTTGCTACACTGTAAGGAACAGTCCAGAGTGAGACCCTTTGAGCTCTCCTGGCCCATGATGGGCTGAGACCAGCATCTCCTTCAGTGGAACCTCTCAGAACAGTGACTCTCAAGTTTGCTATACTTGGAGGACCATCACCAGATGCTGATTACAGAGCCTGTGCTGATTCCCCCACTCTTCAAATTTCAACCCTCTACCTGTTGAGAAGATGCAAAGGCATCATAATTCCATAAGAATCTTTTGTTAAATGGTTTAAATTAAGGTATAAATTAAGTGCTGTTATGTCTAAAGCCTACCAAGGGACCTCAGAGAGATCCCTTACCCCTGGCTTCTCTCCCCAACCAACTCTGCTCACCAAAAGCTGTGGTCATGTTATAGGAACTGTGGGCAGAGACAGGACCTGGCAAGACAGACCAATGTGTTTAACTGCCTGGACTTTCATTTATTTAGAAGGAGGCAGCAAATTGGCACATATAATGCATGGCAGCTGGTGTTGCACAGTCCTCACTATGGTGTTCACTCACCCCAACAAAAAAGAAACCCAACAGACTGAAAAATTCAAAGCCCACTGCTCAAAGGCAAAGGTGCTCATAAGCTGCTACAGGAAACCCAATGAGATGGAATTAATAATTAATAGCATCAAATAAGTTTAACAAAACTAGTTAATAACCAACCAAAAAAAAAACCCCTCAAGGTCTTCTGGTAATCAAAACCCCAAGACAATGCTACTGCAGTCCCATGCAAACTCAATACTGAATGGTTCCTTCACCAAAGGCCCTGTTTATCATATTTGCCCCAAAGTTACTGCAGCTCCCCCACCCCAGATTTCCTCTCTGAAATTTGAACACAGCTGCCATGTGTGCCTGTTCCATCACTACCAGAGGAATTTGCTTTCAGTGAATGATGGGTGGAAGAGAAGGAGTCTGCAATTTCTCATTTCCTTGCAGATTTCCCAGTTCAACCTGAGCCATAGATTTGGAGCACAGACTTTTGGGGTAAGATAAAGCTTCAGGCCCCAAGATACAGTTATCAGCTGGCATTCCCACACACAAAGCAGAGGAAACTCCTGCTTCCCCACATACACAGCCAACCATATGCCAGGAAGCAAACAGCCTTTTTACAATTAAGCAAGAATGACCCTGAGTATGCAAAAAGAGGCAGAAAGACTGCTTAAGGTAATAAGCAAGTCAATTCTTCCAGCCCTCTGTGTGCTCATTAGTGGGTCATGGGAACAACGAGCAGTGGGTTGGTCACTGCCAAGTGACTGGTACCAACCTGCATGAAGAGATCAAAACCGACTTAATCCAGCCAAAGAAACTGAAATTTGCTGCTGCTCCTATGGAGAAAAGGCACAAGAAGTCAGTATGCTGCTAATTCTCTCATAATAGCATTATACCACTGCATTTTTGCATAAAATCTCAAACCAGCATGCTTGTTATTAGCCCGCAGTACCCAAAGATTCTGTGATAGTGAGAACATTCCTGCAGTCTTCCTGCATGCTGTGGCTTTTAAACAGCTGTCCAGTATGAACCCAAATTTCCTATGGAGAGCAGCTATGCATTCCCAGCCCAGCAACTTGTTAAACCCCAGTAAAGCAAAGCACAGACACCCACCACAGTGCCTTTCATTCCCTGAACTGTAAAAGCCATTCCCGCTGCAGGGATGGGGAGACAGGAGGAGCCACCCAGCCAACCTCAGCCAGGGTGGCTGTGGTCTCTCCAATGATTTCCTCTTGTCTGACCCCACAGAGTGCTGGCTAAGCTTATTACACCAACACTGCTTTCTTTTCTGATTTCTCAGTAGAGTTAGTTTCCTGCAGGGGCAGGAAGTGCCAGAGCTGGAAGCAAAAGCAGCAGGAGAAGTTTTTGGTGAGGGACAGGGAGAACCAAGCCCTGTGAGTGCCTGCTGGATTTGGCTCAGGCTGCTGGGGAGGAAGAGAGAGAAGGGATGTGTCAACAACAGCAAATTTCTCCTCCCAAGATCTTCATCTAGCCCCTAATCCAGAGCTTCTCTCAGGCCAGTGTCTCCCAGCCTTCCAGACAGAAGGGCTGTTTGATCCTTTGAAGAACAAACCCACAGATCATCAGAGCCTTGTGACCACAAAATAACATTCCCTCGCAGCCAAGTGAAAATCAAGCTGAATCTTGAACATTCACTTCTAATGTTTTCAATGCCATGCATTGTTTCATTGTATGCATGAGAATGCACATGCAAAAGAAACCAAGAAAAAATGTCTAATCGTGCTGCTATTTCTCAGATCAGCTTCCAAAACCCTCTACACTCTGACAGAGAAATTCTTATTAAAGTAATCTTTGATAAATATTTCAAAAGCAGATTACAGAGATATAATACAGTGAGTACACAAAGGCAAAAAATACTCCAACACCTGAAAACATTATTTCTGTTTTGTTTGATACATGGGGGCCATAAAGAACTTGATTAGAAGTTATATATATTTCAAAAGATACCAATTAGCAACTACTATCCACAATCTCAGCTCTTTTCTACTATCCCCTACAGATACATAGAAAGGAAGTCACTCAAGAGTAGAAAAAGAACAATTTAGCAATGTTTGGGAGGTGGTGATTAGTTTTTGATTTCTCATCATGTGCATTTCTGAAATCTAGTACCTACTTACCTACTGTCTAATCATCTTTCACCTAAATAAACCCAGGTAGCTATTTCTGCACATATTGCATATGAACCCATATTTCATACTTGATTTTTCTCATCCTGGACAAAAAACTGCACATCCAGGCATGCACTCAGCTGTGCACCTCACACACCTGCCTGTGGATGGATGGATGGATACACACACTCATGGGCAGGTGAGGATGCCCACACCATGTCCCTTCAGAGACACAGAGCACTGCAAACCCCCGCACTGGCCTTGCCAAGGAGCTGTGGCTCTCATGAGCTGCTTGCTGAATGTGCTTCACTGTTTAATTTTGAACTTGTTTAAGCCGATCATGTGCACAGATCTCTCTAATGCTCTCTGCCTTAAAGTGTTTTCCCAGATTATGTTCCCAACATATTCAACGTGTTTAGCTCTGAAATCAAAAGGCTCTCTTGTTCCACAGTTATGAATGCTGAGATTTGATGAGACACTCATCATAATTCCCATTTTCCATAAGCTTTTCTCAGGTGGGTTTAGATTGATTAGGTTTAATAAAACTTATTTACAGCAGATTTTTCTCATTGCTGGGATACATGTACAAAATGCCACCCCTATCAAATCTTAGTATCTGTTTTTGCCATTTGAAGCACAATATAATAAGGCAACAAGCACCATGTTCAAACTATCACACCAATGCTAGTTATAGTTAGAATCTAACAGAAAATTAAAGACTCAGAGAGAAAATGTATTAAAATAGCAATGAAACAAATTGTCATCGTTTACTGTGTCACCCACGTATTAAACACAAGAGTCTCAATTCCTAATTGAGTTAAATTAAAGTTTAATGAATTTTTAAGCAGGTTTAATAATACAGAGAAAAAAAAAAACTCACCAGGAGGGAGTCCTGGGCTGACTTGGCCAATGTAGAAATACAGAATAACCCCTGCTCCCAGGCTGACCAGGGTGTAGATCCACTGAATGACAAACATTATGATGAGGGACACAATTGCCTGTTGGAAAGACATGGTTTGGGGTTACCCCAGAGTCTGGGAGGTAAGACCATGGACAGTCAAAGCTCAGGTTTCCATGTTACAGGGAGCCTCGTTTGGTCTCACTCTTAAAAGGAGGGAGAGCACAGGGTAACAGTGTCACCTTCAGCAGCATGGAGGCAGCTCCAGGGAGCTACCCTGAGTCCCAGGGGCAGCGTGGGTCTCTGCCTGGGCTTCTCCAAGAGAAGCATCCAGAGGCTCACCAGCTCTGGAGGAGATTTGGCTCAAGTTGCATACAAACCAGGGGCAGAGGTAGCATCTCCTTGGGAGATGTTTGGAACAGCAAGAGGCAGCACAGAAAGAGCTAAAATGATCCCAGACGACACAAGTGAAGCTCAAAGAGAGAGGGCAGAGGGGAGAGGAGTCAGGATGAGTAACACATCCAATTTTTGCTCTTGTGATTTTATTTTGCATTATCAATCCTATCCCAGCTCTGCTGCAACCCCCTCCCGAGCCTGATTATTGACAGGAAACCAAGTTTGCTTTGATGAGCACATCCATCACCTCCACAAGCAAATTCCCCTGCAAAGGCAGAGCTGATGGCTCTGCCCTGACATGCACTTGGGAGCCACAACAGAGATGAGCCCAGAGATGGCACCAGCACACAACCTCCTAGAAATGCCATCCCAAAGAGGGGCCACCACTCCCTGCCCACCCCTGGTGCTGCAGCCCAGTGGCACCCCTCACCAGGAGCTGGCTGCTGGCAGCAGCAGTGGTGAATTTGAAAAGCAGGTGTCCAACTCCATCTGAGGATTAAACTAAAGGGGTTTGTTGGGTGGTTTGAGTGGGTTTGTTACATTTTATGCACAGCTATGAAATCCTCATCCATGCAGCAAAGCCATATGGCTCATTCATTATGCATATCTGACCCTTTCCTTGTCATCTACCCAATAATCCATCTTCCCAAGATAAATTTAAGTGCTTTAAACTTCTCAGCAACTTGAGGCAGAAGCTATTTAAAAGTTATTTAAAGTAACATGCTGTAGGAATACTCTCCTTCCCTCCCTCAAAAGATGGAATTTCATAGCTGGGCTGCTGGTATCAGGAAGTCAGCACAAAATAAAGCTTTGAAGATGGTGTCTCAGTCCATTACACAGCAAGAAAAAGCAGACTGGCACACACAAGAGGCACACTGATTTTTTTTCCCCATGCATCCATGCATCTTTAAAGTCCTAAGACTCCAGACTTTTCATTTGTACTTTTGAATTGGCCTGGAGCTTGTTTGTTTGGGGTTTTTCCTGTTGCTATTTAACTTAATATGCCATTGGACTTTCCATGAATTTGAACTGCTGGATGCATGGTACCTTGAGTATTTAGTTCAGTGACCTGGAATATGAGAATCAAAAGCCATTATTTAAGGTACTGGAGTATTTACACTATCAGAAGTACCATTATTTAAGGTACTGGAATACTTACACTGCAGTACGGAATGAATGTTCTTCTGTTTTCTACTATCACAAAACACTGCTCAAAATAAAAGAAAATTACTTACACCAGCAAAGGAAATCCAGTGACTGAAAAATCTGGAGTAGAAGGTTTCTGGTATTTGCTGAATTCCCAGTTCTGGATTTTGTTGTTTTATAGATGATTCTAAAGAAAATGAAAAGAAAAAAAATAAGAAAGGTGCTATAATTTGGGGGTTTTTTTCTCTTCTTTACATTACCAGATTCCAGGAACCAAAGCAAAAATTCTAGCTGACAGCTGGGTATGACAGAGTTAAACCAAAACCTCCAAAATGAAAACTGAAAAGAAGTGCAAGGAAAAAACCAAAAAGTTGCCAGCTCTGCTACAAAGTCCATTTGAAGGCTGCATCTGTCAATCTCTGGCTCACAATTTGTGAAATAAGAAAAATAATACTTTCCTCCCTCAGAGGGGTTTAGAAAGCTTAACTGACTCATGCTGATGAAACATTGCAGCACTGGGAATGACAAACTCCACACACAGGTGCTGTATCAAATCACCAAGAAATTCAGATCTTCACCTATGGATGCTGAGTTGCAGACTCCACCTGTGTTGTGGGGACCACTGCACTAAGATAGCCTGAGTTCTAGAGTCACAGGGCTCCAACCATCCTACCCCACACCAGGATGAAGTAAATCCCAAGATACACCTAAACCTTTTTTAATGTACAGCATTCAGAAGGCCTGTGAAGAATTATGAGTACATCGTAAACAACCCAGCAGTAAATTTAGTCCTGCCTGCTTTCCTGTGATTAATCTTCTGTAGGAAATTGCATTGGAACTTCTCCTGTGATGCATTGCAATGAACTCTACCCTCACCTGGAATAAATGATATTATTGCCATGAATCACTGAATGACAGCCCCATATAAAGCTCGTTTCATGCCTGCCTTCAGGAAAGCACTGGGAGGAGCAAGGTTATAAACAATTTCCTCAGAACAGGGAGATGTCCATCTCCTACAGCCCTTACCTTCTCCCCCTGGGCCAGGGAGCATCATCACTTCACTGCAGGGCTCTTCCCTCTGCTCCATCCTCCTGGGTATGTGCTGGGCATCCGCAGGGGGCGATGAGCCCAGACCTGCATCCCACTGATCACCCTGCTCACCCATGTCCTGCTGCCTCCCATGGGGCTCCGTGGCCTCATCCCAGCTGTTCTGAGCCAGGGGAGCATCCTGATGGAGATCCAGGAGAAAGCTGTCTTGTAATGTCTGCTTGGCTGGCTTCCTCGCCTTCTTTAGCTTGCCCTTTTGGGTTAAATTCTCAACTCCTTCTCTTTTGGAAGTACTTGGCTCACTAAAAAATGGCTTAAAAATCTGGTCCATGTCTTTTTTGAATTCTAGCAAGGTGCCATTTGATCTGCTTTGAATTACCCCATCTGCTGCACGGCTGGGGGGCTTGTTGACAATTAAAGGCTGGGAGGAGTGAGCAGGTCTAGCAGCTCCCATCTGGGTCTCCTCAGGTTTCTGCTGAATGGTGTAGCTCAAGGATATTGAGAAATAGGAATAGTCCACAGCAATATATGTCAGCATGAAGTTGATGGTGACTATGGGAGCAAGAACATTCACTTGCCCAATGAAGACAAAAGCCATGGTGATGAGACTTGTTAAGCAAATCGCAGCCACTGGAGTCTTGTTGGGGCCTTTCTAGTTCATAAATAAAACAAAATTACATTTAAATTAATAACCATGAACCTTGCCATGAGGATTCCCTACTTGCTCAGCTGCTGTGTGTGGTTACCTGGGCTGTCTGCAGTACCCCCCCTAATCATGAATACATGCATGTGCAAACAGAGGCTCACAGGCCTAATAAATTAAAGAATAGAGTGGAAGCCAAAAGCTTTGAAGCTCCCACTTCATCCCTAAGCCTTATTCAGGCTTTGTCTTTGGTAAATTCATCCACTCTCACTCATATCTCCATGGTAAAACAATGTCATTAAAGCAGCAATAAACCTTCAGAGAGATTTGTGGGGCTTATGGGAAGTCTGGCAATAAAACGTGTTAATTAGAGTTAACTGTTCATCTCTAATTATTCCACAGGACTCTGCATCACTGCCTACCCAAAAGGCTCCCTGATGCTGCCCTTGGAAAGGCTATGCATGAGGCAGGGCCACCTGCACATCAGCAGCTCCTGGCCCTGCCCTGACAGGAGCCAAGCTGAGCCCGTGGTGAGCTGAGCCCGGGCAGGTGGGGCTGCCCTCCTTCCACTGAGCTGGGCAGGTGGGGCTGCCCTCCTTCCACTGAGCTGGGCAGGTGGGGCTGCCCTCCTTCCACTGAGCCCGTGCAGCAGTGGAAAGCAGCACTGAGGTGGGCAGGTGGGCAGGTGAGGTGCCAGTCAGCCCCAGCAGCCCCAGGCATGTGTCAGGAGGGCAGGAGAAACATTGCCTGCTCCTGTCTTTTGGGACTGGGTGAAGGCAGGCAAAGGAGAAGGAAAAGAGGCACAAAACAAAGAGCATTGGGAGTGGGAATACCTGAGCCTTTGGCTCATGAGCTTCAATCCCAGGTCTAACACACCCTTCCTTGGACCAGGCACTATCTTGCCTTTTTGCCACCTGACAAGCCTGTGCAAGCTGTGTAAAGACATTGCTTAAAAATATCTTACAAGATATCTTACAAAGCATCTTAAGTCTTCGCTTAACTGCATTTACTTCTCTAATAAACATACTGCTCAAATGGAAACTATTTCTGTTTCCTCCACTCTTATTTATTAATAGAAAAGGGGACAAGTTCTGGACCATTGCATCTTTTCAGAATGAGCAAAAATACATCTCAGGGCCAAAGGAACACAGATCTCAGGAAGCATCTTCAGTATTAGAGAGATGTACTGAGACAGAGAACAGATGGGAGGATCTCAGGATGCATCTGGCTTGGATTTAGCTCCACAGAAAACATTTGTGTCCTTCCCCTCAGCTGGGGCTATGGTGACCACACCACCTTCCTCAACCATGAAAAAGCAGAACTGATGTGGAGCAGATTGGTAAGGACAAATTAAATGTATTTACTCTTCATAAACCAAATCTAAACAATTTCCAAGGTGGCAGAGAAATGGAAGGGGGAGAAGTGGTCTGCCTTTGATTTCTCACCTCTTTTTGAGCCCTTCCCATCATGGCACTCTGCTTGGAGTTCAGAGCAGAAAATTCAGTTCAGAAAGACAGAAAGCCATCAGAGAGGCAATCAACTTTGATAAACCACTGAGAATTGCACAAGGATTGCCAAGTAGAGAACAGCTTATTCTGAGATCACCTGAAAACTGCCTTCAGGAGCTGGAAGTTTTTGCAGTCATTACTGTTCTTGATTTCCTTACAATTATTACTACCATTTTTGCTATTATTATAACTTTTGGTTTAGAAAACTGCTTTGAGAAACATAAAACTACAGAGAGAAAATTATGATATTTATAAAATATTTAAATACTTTTAAACATTCATAAATGTCAATACTGAAAACTATTTTTCTGTATTTTTAAGCCACTCTGAAGGAGCAAAGCATCATAAGGCTTTTCCAGACACTCTGTACAGACAGTTAGGTACTGCAGATTATTGAAAGTGATGGAATTATTTTATCCCTATTCAGAAAAAGGGAAAATCATGTATAGCCCAAGACTACAGAGTCCTTGGTGACTGGTATCAGTAGAACGAGTTGTGCATAAAGATTATTCATGAAGCAAGGAAATAGCTTCTTGTCATATTCCAAGCAAGACTTTGTTTCAATGCATATCTAAAGCTTAGCAGACCCCTAACTTAACCTTTCAAATTTATTCTTTGTTTTAATTTAATAGTGTCCTGAAGGCACCTTATCTTCCAGAGAAGTGTCCTCTTCTCCACTGCACACAGACTGAATCCAGAGCATCGCAGCTGGCCACGCACTCAGCTCTGAGCTTACCACAGAGCATAGGAACAGACCAAAGAAAATGTGCAGGAAAGAGAAATAAGAAAGAAAACAGATAAAAGGTAAAGAGACAGTTACCATCTATTTCACCACGTGCTGGGACAAAAGCTTCAGGCTCCTGCCCTGGGCAGGAGGGCAGAGGAGAGGGAGGCGCTTCTTTCGGTCATGGCTGGGATCAGCACCAGCTCAGAGAAGGTGTTTGCAAAAAAATCCCCACAGGCAAAGTTATATCATGAGTGCCTGTCCTGCTGGGCACATCTTGAACAGGAGGGAGGGACTGATGGCAGCCTGGAAGGGCTGTGTGTGCACAGGGGCAGGACACAGAGCCCCAGGGCACACGGGTGGGTGAGTGAGGTGCCAGCCCTGCACAGTGCCAAACCCTGTGGGAGGGTTCAGAGCAGAGGCAGTGCACGCAGGGACAGGCAGGGAAAGAACCACAGACAGTTGGATGCTTGGTTTTTTTCATAAATCCACCCATTTCCTGGCTCTTCTGCCTATGCATGGGATACCAGATCCTGAGCTTTCCCCTCCTCGCATTTCGTGCATCCCCCATCTCACTCCACAGACACATAGAAATCTTGGAAATCTCTTAAGCTCAGGTGAAGGTTTGACAGGGATCCTGCAGAAAGGATGACTAACCCCACGTCCAAGGAAGGCCAGCATGGGGATCACATTCTCCTGGGCAATGCACTGCAGGATCCGGGGTGCTCCGTACAGCCCTCCCATGCAGGAGGCCAGGGATGAGATGTACAGCCCTAGCAAAAACAAAAACCCCACCAAGGATACCTGGAGGAAACAGAGAGAATGCAAAGTTCATCATGTTATGCCTTAAAGACACCCAAGCAGTCTTAAATACATGTATTTTAACAGATCACATATCTTTTCTAATGTTGTTAAAAGAACAGAGCAAGCCCTGGGAAAGCAGCAATTTAATTGGTCTGTGGTATAAAGTACAAGCAATTAATACAGGAAAATTATCCCATAAAAGTAATTTAATACTGAACATCCTGTACTGACAGAACAATTTTAAAAGCTCATATCCAAGGAATTCTTTGTCACTTGGAGCAAGTGCAGCAAAGCAGCAGCTATTAGATTCCCCTTAAGTAACTGGAAGCGAGTTTATTTCAGGCAAGATCACTTATATACAGAGCACATCATGCAGGAAAAGCTGCCCAGGCTTCCCACCATCCAAAACAGGAAGACAAACCCCTGTGTCTCAGAGGGGAAAACCAATCCTGAAGGAAAACCCACAGTAAAACCAAATCAAAATTGCCACTTAAGTAAATGGCATCTCAAAAAACACGCTCCAAAGGATGTAATACAATGACCTTATTTTCCTGTCTTCAATGAGAAAAGAATTTCCTTTGGCCAGCATGAAACATTTAAAAAGAAAAAATTTAAAGTCATAGTGCTAACAAGACTGGGTTTAGAACTGTTTTTTGAAGCACCCTTTCAAGCTGGGAGCGTCTCCTGCAGGTGTGGAGGGAAAGGAAGGACAGCTCCTGGTCTGTCACACAGAAGGGAGGACTGGGGTCCCCCTAAGCAGGTCCCCACTGTCAGAGCTGCAAGCACAGAAAGTGTATCTAAAAAACCCCACCCAAATACACAAAACCCCACAATACAAACATTGTGCAAGAAAGCTTTGAAATGGGAGTGTTCCTGGCACTGCAGGACCTGGACAGAAAAAACAAGGAAAACAAAGTCTAGGGTCACCTGAGACACCCCCACGTCCTGTGAGACCACAGAGGTCTGACAGCCAGCAGCCAGGCAAGGAGAATGGCAAGGGGGTAACTCCAGCACAAAGGCCAGGCAGAGAGAAAGACCTCACATTTTGGCCCAAATCCAACATGCCCATACTCCTCTAAGTGAGTGCTGGAGGTGCAGACAAATATCTGTGGCAGAGGATGTCACCAATGCAGGTCCCCTGCATCCCACCTTTGCTCCCAGCCCTCCTTCCATGGAAAAGAGGGCCTAAGTGAACACAGGTCCTCCCAGCTTCTGCCCCCATTGAAGTCAGGTGGCACATGCTTTATTAGGAGGAATTACAAAAATTTACATGGCCAAAGATGATCCAAGCTACATCTGACTGTTTTTTTGTCTGTGAAATCTGCAGGCAGGAAAAAGGAGATTGGGTAAAAATCCTTAAAAAATCTTGCTGTTGGGGAAGGCAAGTGAAATTAACATAATGATCCAGAGCTGTTCAAACTTCCTAGCACAACATTTCCCCATGAAAATCCACTTGGCCCTGTGAATTGTATCTTGTGGGACAGAAGGAACCTGAGGCAAAGATGAGCAGATAGCAGCTCCATCAGCCCAGCAGACAGACACTCAGTGGGGAATCCTCCCTTCCCTCTCCTCTAATCCTGCCCTGCTCCGAGAAATACTCGGAAGAAACAAACACTTGTGCCAGACATCATATATTATTTTAGCTGCCAAAAATGCTTGCATTTAAATGTGCTACTTGACATTCAAATCAGGGTTAGAGGGGAAGAGTCCCTTTCACCGAGGCTGATGAAAGGTTTTGCTAAGAGTTTTGAACACAGAGAGTGTGAATACATTGCAAGGAATTGGCAGTTGGAGCTCATTAGAAGTGAAATTACTGAATCTCATTTTTGTGTTTAAAAAGCCAAACAAATATTGCAACAGAGAAAAGCAGCCAAGCATTCGTCCACCTGTGATAGAAAGAGAGAGTTTGGAGAAGTAATGATCTCTTCCCCCTTCCTCTCTCCAAAGTCATTAAAATCTAAAGCATCTTGTAATAACTCAAAGAAGGAACATGAATATTGCACCATTTGTTTGTTCCATATTAGGGGAAAGAAAATTGAATTTACTTTTTTGAAGGGGGGTGTTTGCTTGTTTATTTTTTGTATTTGACAGTATTGAATATCTTCTCATTCATGACTAGGAGATTTTTCATTTTCCCCCTGAGGGTTCTGAAGTTAAAACACAGCTTTAACAATCTCTTTCTCTTCAGCAGATTCATTTAAAGCTGATTCTTTTGGATACTGCACTTTTTTCCCATTAAGTCATTGACGTATAAAGAGGTTGCCTTAGACAAGGCAGGTTCATTCTTTTTTTTTCCCTGAAATAGAGGTGGATTTTTTTACCTCAGCAGGTAGTGGCAGAGCCCTACCAATATTTGGGAGTTTATCTAGGGGACTGGAAGAAGTTTAGAGCTGGAAGAAGTTTAGAGTTAAGAAACAAAACTAGAGTTTCAAATTGATATTTTAGACAAAAACCAGATCAAGCTATGTAAACTTCTCAACTTCAAATGAATCACAAAAAATAGTGTCTAATACAGTGAACCCATGATTTTGGACAATACCTAATGACAGAAAATTAGCCTTTTTACATCCCATCCAAAGACAGACAATGGCACACACCAAAATCTCTTGCTCTCTCCTTAGAGGCCTGCAGGGGTAAGGCTCATTGTGTGTTACACTACAACCCCCCCTCACGTAAATAACCTGTGTGGAATATTTTGAGTTTAATAACCCTGTTGCTCACCCTGCAATTACAGCGTGCTAGATATGGAAATATGAGCTTTGCTTGGCTTAGTCAAGATAAGCAGGGGGGTCTTCAGAGATTTCAATTTGGTCTAAGCTTTCACCAATGAGAAAAGATACATGGAATAAAATACAGCATTTATCATTAGACCACATTACCATGCTTTAGCTCTTAAAGCTATTGCTGGGTGACAATACCAAGGTTTGGCATTATGGAATATGCTGGTGAATGCAAGGCTAGTCAAACCAATTGTACACTGGGATTTGCAACAGGGAAATTTTAATGAGGGATGTGTACCCACATTCCTTAGGCTTCTGAAAAGCTCAGGCATTCAGTGAGGCAGATGGCAACCTGAAAGCACCATTATAAAAACCACAAGTTACCTTCTCTGCTATCATGAAGTCATAGCGGAGCGACTGCCGGGTACAAATGGCTCCCAGCAAGAAAACAAAGACCATGTACAGGAACCACCTGCAAACAACAAAAATAAACCAATTTCTTCTCAGCAAGACAAGAACATAGAGAATTCTGCCACTAGGAGAGCCAGGAGACAGGCAAATGCCCACAAGTTGGGTCTTAGTCACTCTGCATGGTTCCTGAATGATTTAGCTTCGGGGATAAATTTGACAGTAACCCATGGAGGGAAGCTACCCCACTCCTTAGGTGTGCAGGGGGAAATATCCCAGTCCTAGGGACAAACTTTTTCGTAGGGCCTGCAGCAAAATGCCAGGGGTAATGGTATGAACTAAAAGAGGGTCAGTTCAGACTAGCTGTAAAAAACAAATTTTCTACAGTAAGGGTGGTAAAACATGCGAATAGGCTGCCCCAAGAGGTGGTGGATGCTCCATCTTTGGAAACATTCAAAGTCAGGATGGACCTTAATGGAGCAATCTGATCTGGGTGAAGAAGTGCCTGCTCATTGCAGGGGTTGGACTGGATGGCCTTTAAAGGTCCCTTCCAGCCCAAACTGTTCTGTGATTCTGTGGCTCTGCAGGTAAAACAGGTCCCTCCATGTGCCAGCAACATTAACAGTACAGCCAGCCTGCTCTGGAGTTCTGGCCTTTCCACACTCAGGCTGGGGGATAATTTTGTCTGTAAAGCCCAGAGAGCTGAAAGGGAATGACCACAGCCTTGGAGAGACGGACTCATGTGATGCTACTGTGTCCTGTGGAATCCCCCCTCTTAAAACAAGCACCAATTCCAGCAGGAATGCCTCCAAACTGTGAAGAATCTTCCTTCCTGACTCAACATTGGTACACAATTAAAAGAAATTATTTCAAAGGCAATTTAGATGGCGATAAAAGCAGGGAGGAAAACCTACTCAGGGCTTTTTTTGTTAATAAGCAGAAGTGGAAGGTTCTCCTGGAAAGCAGTATTTCCTTGGGAAGAGCATGACTTGGTGATGCAGGGCCTCTGTTTCCCCTGTCTTGCAGGTGGGTAGGTCATCTCACCCCTCTTGGCCTCATTTGCCCAGCAATGAAAAATACAAAATTTTGATACTTCTTTTCTATTTATATAGAAAAAGAACACAAGGAGGGGAAAAAAAAGCAATAAACCCCCCACTGAAATCAACAACAGTGAATGACAAAATCTTCCCCCTCCCAAGCCTTGGAGAACTCTGCATTCACTCTGGGGCTGCAGCAGCACAAGCACCCAGCACCAGCACAGATCCCACCCAGCAGTGGAAGCACTGAGTACATCCTCACTAACAAACATCTCCAGCCCACCCAGAGTGTGTGGTGGTAATGGATGACAATTTGAATGAGAGCCACACTTTAATTTTCCAGGTGGCTGAGTAATAAAAGGCTGATGGGAATATGAAATGTATTGGTCACACTCAGGGCAGTCTCCAGAGCAAACTTTCCCCAATCAATGACTTACGAGGTGCCAATAGCAGCCAGAGACCCCAGAGGGATGTTGGAAGAAGGCTTCTGGAGATCTCCACTCATATTGAACCCAGCCATCACACCTGCATTTCGCAGACACAAGTGCAATTTAGAGTCAATCTAAGTTATAGTATATATAATACACATTGAAATATGTAATATAATTTAATCAATCAGTTCATTGATTGCTTCACAACAGTAACTACATCACTTCATTGCACTGCCACACAGACAAATATTGGCTCCCATCAATTGCTTGGTAAAAAATTGTTCATGTCTTTAACAGAAGCAAGTCACCACTAACATGTCAAAGAAGCCTCTGTCTGGTTTGGACAATGCTGAGGGGGAAGCAGTATGTGAACAAAACCCATCCTATCTTCATACAAACCCAACAGGAGACAATGCTGCCCAGCTGTTGAGAAGAGAAATGCCACTGTCCATCAGGGCAGCAGTGGTACAAGCCCAGGCCAGATCCATTACAGGTCCCTGCATTCACAGGGGACAGCCACTGCTGCAAAACAGAACGTGCTGTCCACATTAAAGGATGATCACATTAGCAGGGGGAATGACAGGGCTCCCAGCACGTAGGTGGCACCTTCCAGCCAAGGGATCTGCTTTGGAAGGAGGCATTATCTCTGCCTTGCAGATAGGAAAACAGAAACACTGAGAGGGCGAGTGATTGTCCCAGTGTCACGTAGAAAACACATGCTAGGACTAAGAATAAAATACTGAACTGTTATTTTAGGCCAGAGTACAGGGTATTATACAATCAGGGACAGTCCTTAGCCTAAAAAATTACCATCTAAAGAGCAAGAGGGGAAAACAGGATGAATCAGAGGATTGGAGTCTCTACATTAAGACTAGAAAGCCAAGGTACAGATTGGTTAAGGGGCTTTGCCCATAGGTGAAGGAGAAGTCATACCAGACTTGTCAAGAAAACAGATATTCCCTTGTTACATTATGCCAAAAGTTTTCTTAGAAGACTTCAGCGATGTGCTGTAAATAAAAATATATAAATAAATATCTTTGATTTAGAATCCTGATGAGAATTTGGACAATTTGTAGGCAGGACCAAATACTTTAGGGCGCTAACTTGTGCCCACCACTGTTCCCCCTGGGATGTCAGACTAATATCTCCATAAGGACACATGGGCCAGGAGGCAGCCAGCAGTACTGCTGGCAGGGTCCCTGGGGGCAGGGTGAGGTCACCACAGAACAGTGGCAAGGAGGATGCCAGCACCATGGCACCATGGCACATCTGGCAGCCCCTGCAGCAGGGACTGACCACACGCCACTCCGCCGTGGCTGCCAAGGCCAGCAGCCAACCCTCGTGCTCAGAGGGCACAAGAATGACAAAGTCAGTCCCTGCAGCTGCACATCTGAGTGACTACAGCTCCAAATCAGCAACAGCCCATTGCATTTTAAACTCAAACACTGATTGCTGCTTGGAAGGGTTTGTTCCCAAGATGAAGGATAGACAAGAGCTTGGGACCAATCTCAGGGTAAAGGGGACAAACCCAAATCAGCCAGATGGATGGCCTCCCTATTCCCTACAACCTTGGCCTTTGATGGGCTCTCAGCAATGGCTGGGGTGCTAATCATGGAACACAAACTCTGCTCTGCTCTGTCCCAGGCACTGCTGTGCATCTCCACAGCACCGTCTCCACATCTGCCCAAAGGGAATTGTAACACCTCCCCCTCCTCACTGCTCAGCCATGAGGACAGCATACAAACGAGCACAAGGCACTCTCCTGCTGTCAAACACATCCAGGGCTTTATTTATTTATTTATTTATTATTAATGCTTTTTCCTCCTTGATCATCTCTTTTTTCCCCCCCTTGATCAGTCCACTGACCAGCCATCTTTTCCTGTCATCTCCACCATGGAGCCAGAGCCCTGACAACCATTCCCTGGTCCCCACAGAATCCTGGCATTCCTCAGCTCCTGGAAGAGCTTTTCCTCCAAATTCAGACCAGATTTGAATCCTTGACACCATACTGAAAGCATTACAAATCAAGTTCTTAATTTTCTCCTGGAAGACTATTTTGTGGATATGCTTCTGAACAGCACAGCTAAAAGCCTGTCAGCTGCTCTGGTTTTCTCTAGATAAAGATTCTGTGCAATGTTCAAGCCCTGCTCCTTTCAAACAGTTACACAACAGGCTTAGCCAGAGGTAAGAAAAGTTAGGAAGGCAGAAGTCCATGGAAACGGTCACAAATATCCTAAATAAATTCTCTATGAAGCACTCTTTGATGACATGCTACTTTGCAATTCAGAGACAAAGCAGAAAACAGAATTCTCTGAATTTTTCTTCCAAAGGGAGCAAACTATTGTCAGAAGGACAGCTGTTAATCTCATGTGCTTCTTGGCCAAGTTTCTCAAACATCTGGCACCACCTTTAAATCTTCCAGCTTGAGTCACCTCTTCCTCATCCAAACTCCTGCCTCAGCAAAGCACTGGGGAAACACCAAAATGGCATTTTCTGGACTGAGCATAGAAAAGCTGAAGATGTGAGTCATCTGCACAGCAATGAGTGCACAGCCTGGGCTGCCTCCCTCCCACAGACCCACACATGTTCAGGAGCAGCCAGGAGATGACTTCCCAGGGCCCACATAAAGAGGATCCTGAGGCTGGTGCTTGACCTCCTGCCCAGCAGGGACCAGGGGTCACACTCAGGCCACTGCTCACCACTGGCTGCTCTCAGGGCTCCCAGGAGGTCACCAGAGATTCATGGGTTCCACAACCAAAGGTCAAGGCCACCACAGAGGGAAGCAACTCAGATATTCTCAGCCACTCTGGCGAAAGCCATCTCCTCTGTGCTGCAATTATGACTCTGACACGACCAGTGCAAAGGTGTGGGCAATCTGGTAGTACAGATGTATGGACAATGCCAGAGCCACCTATCCACCACCAGCAGCCTTTTAAGCCCTTTGAATTAACAAGTTTTCCTGAACAAATCAGTTTTTCCTCTGAAAATGCTCTTTTTCAAGTTAAAAACATGTATGGCAGGCAGTGCAGACACAGAACTATCACAACACTTACTGCAGATTCCTTCTGCATGTCCTTCCCAGCAGTCAAGGTAGGAAGAAATTGGGATGTTCCTTCCTTCAGACACAGGCCAATCCCTAGGGAAATGGCCAATCCCTTCTGAACTCAAGCAATCCTATCTGCAGATTCTCCATGGAGAAAATGATACACCTCTCTGTTTCACTGAGATAGCAGGCTGGATTTTCCACACTGGCTATTATCTTAGAGAGCAGCAGATAGTGACAAAGCTTCTGGACAAAGGAGCATGAAAACACAGCCAACCCAGCCAGGAAATTATGGCTGAGACAGTCTGTACGTTGCTGCTATTCCCAGTGTAATCTGGTCCTGGGCATCATCCAGGGGCTGGATGTGGGGACCACCTACACTGTGTGTCAGGCACAGCCACCAGCCCCACCAGCCCTGGTTTATGGCTGCAGATATGATCACTCTGCAAACGCCCAGTGCACTTCTCAGTGAACATACTATAAAATATAAAAGGTGGTTTTTCCCCTTCACCCAGGAGGTGAAGAATGGAAAATGTTAGATAAGGCTTGTCGCTAATTTTTTTAAAGGGGCCAACTTCTCCACTGATGTAAGCTGGCACCTTGCCCATAGACTTCAATGGAGTTGTGCCAGTTTACATCATCTGATAACTTAGCCCAAAACTTCTAAATCTATTTGCTGTCATTTTGCAAGTGCCAGATATGGTTTATTTCAGAACTGGTTTCTGTGCAGTGATATTTTCCACTAACGCTGCTTCAAATGACATCTTACTTTCTTCTATCACAAGACAACACACTTCTTTCATTAGACAGAAAACCTTGGGGATTTAGTAGAAAAACATTTTTTGCACAACAGAAACAGCATTTATCTTAATTTTAAAATGCACTGACGGCTGCATGGCTGCTGCTGGAGCTGGCTGTGGGCAGGCTGGCCCTGAGGCTCCCTCCCTGTTGAAAAGCCCTGGCTGGGTGGGCATCCAAGTGTTCACATATCCCAGCACAGCAGCAAAATGTGTGCACTGAGAAGGTATTTACAAACATGCTGGTTAATGCACAGCACCTCTACAGGGGTATGTTCACATCTTCCACAGCTATATTTTAGTGTTTTGACTGAAGCCAGCAAATCCCAGTCCTCATGCCCATGCTCTCCCTTTTAAGCCAGCTCTAGATGTCTGTTTTGGATATCTTGGCTACTTCCCTATGATTAAGTGACAAACTTGGATGAATTAGGCCAGCTGCACTGAACATCCAGCTGAAATGGTTTAAACAGCTATTGCACAGGCAGCAAGTGCTCAACCATAAAACTGGGGTAACTTCACTCACACTGCTGCAGTCATACCAATAAAACACAGAGGAAAAGAGAAGACAACCTGGATCAAAACACCCCAAGGAGGATGCTCCTAGGAGGCAGCATGATGCTACTGGTCTGCAAAAGGCTGGGATACCATCCTGTGCCCATCAGTTGAAGCACATCCCCAGCTGCTCCTCCTGCCTGTTTGGTCCGGCAAGGGTCTCCCCACAAGTCCTGCTCCCCCTTCCTGACGTGGCTGCCCCTCTTTGCTGTTACAGCTACCAGCCTGCATTTCACATTTCTGTTTCACTGCCATGTCTGGTGGAAATGGGCAACTTACAGCCACTTTGAGTACATCCCAGAGAGAAAACTCAAACTGGTTGAATTCAGATAGCCGTCTCAGAGACAGAGGAAGAAGCCTATCCTGAAGAGATCAAAATAGTTTCACTTCAAAGAGGAACATTTCATCTCAAAAGGCCCAAACAATTTGTTTCACAATTTCCAAAATAGTCTTTTTTAAAAACTCTGTTATCAAAATAGCATCTTAAATTGTAAGCTAGCATATGCTACAAATTAAAAATAGTAAACACAACATTTTATAATTAAAGATAAACACAACATTGCTGTGGATCAAGGAACTGCTTCAAACTGGCTCAATGTAACCCCTCAAAACTAAACAGCATATTGCTTTGCTGAAACTCTCCCCAAATTTCTGTTGTATCTTCAGGCAAAGGATTTTGCTTCCAGTGCCTGTCCCTGTCATTCCTCAGTGCCACTTGTTCACCCTCTGCATTGCACTGCCTGCCCTGAAGCAGCAGCACTGGCAGCAGAGCAGTCTTGACTCCCATCCTAGAAATTTCTAACCAGACCATAACCTGTTCCATGCAGAGCACCAAACACAGCCCTGCATTTCACAAGGCTCCTGAACTCCACAGTGCTCCAAACAGCAGTGACAGGAGTGATAGTGCTGTTATATGGCACCACTGGCACTGCTACTCTGAAGGAATAATTTAAATCCTGTAAATAACCAAGCAATTAAAAAGAGCACGTGAAAAAGCTGTGCTAACAACGAAAGTAATTACACATTATCCCAAACTGTATTTTCAGAGGATGTTTGACAGCACTACTGGTATTACTATTGCTAACTAAATAGAGCAACAGGCTGCCAGGGCTTTAAACAAATTGTATCTATTAGCTTTGGCATTCTTCCTAGCAGCCAAGCATTAGCAGTGACAAAAAATCATTTAATATGGCTAATCATGGTAATTTTCTGCACAGTTTTGTCGTAACTGCTCCTTCTTCTATAACCAAGGAATCAGAAAATAACCTGCTTTCCTGCAACAGTGACAGAGCACATGAGAAAGTTTTTTTTTCTCTTGAGGACTCACTTGGGCCAATCAAAAATGACAACAAAAAAGAGAGAAGAAGACATCTCCATGGTGCCAATAGGTCAGGAAAGTGAGTATTCCAGGAGGAAGTCTAGAGAGGCAATAGCCAGCCTGATAAGGTGGGAGAGAGGATCTTAAAGACAAATTTGAAGTCCTGCACCAGGTGCCAGTGACTTCTGCTACCCAACCATTCCTCCAGTCCCATCTGTTTCACAAAACACTTTCATTTGTCTCCCTGTACCACAGCAATTCTGCAACTTCCTGTGAGTTGCTTGGAGCTGATCCTCTGAAAATTCATTCTGTAATCCAAGGATTCATCACTATGGAAACTGCTTATAATCAGTACTTTTTATAGCTTAAAGCACCCAGCATCAACAAAAGGTATTGTAACTTCAGCTGATAGCTACTGCATTCCCACTGGGGATTGTCAGCTCTGGAAGGGGGACATGCATCTCCCTGGTATTTGAGGGAATGAATGATATGAAGGTATCTAATTAAATGCATAAATTTGAGCTCTGCTGACACACAAGGATGAACCTGTGACACCACACAGTGAGTGGTGGGTTCATCATGGGCAATGGCATCAGCCCAGCTCAGCCATTGCTAAGGTAAGGAGAGGAACTCCTCCTGTGCTCTTCCCACTCTCCCAGTGCAACAAAGTCATAAGGCTCATCTGATTTGATAAATCATGATCAGTTCTTTTAGATAGGCTGGATACCTTCTGCCCTGATAGCATTGGCCAAGATCAGTGCCTGGGCCTTGTCCTTGGCAGGGAAGAATTTACAGGACCACATCAACCCACAGAGTTCACCAACAGTTTCTGACCACAGAGACAGAAGAGCACACTTAGAAGAGCACATTCAAGTGAACAAGACAGGAGTGCAAAAAATTTGAGATGCTGGAGGGAAGCCTGAACATTTGAATGGACCACTTGGTCTGCTACAGCCAAGTGCAGTCCTGCTCACAGCCAAGGAGCTCTCCTTGCTCCTGCCCATCTCCGAGATGTTCCTGTGGAGGAAAAAAGAGTGAGGATAAAACTGAACTGTACCTGTGGCAGCCGGGAAAAACACTCCAAAAACAGTGAAGAACGACTCCCCCTGGCTGTAGTCGGGCAGGGTGTTGTTGAACATCAGCTCTGGGGAGTAGCCGACGAAGCCGTGTTCTGTGGGGACACGGAGGGTGAGAGGAGAGCCCCAGGAACCAGCAGGGCTGCAAGAGCCCCCCAGATGCTCCCAGCACCACCCCCTCTAAACCCATGCACCTGCAGGAGCCCCCCAGATGCTCCCAGCACCACCCCCCTATAAACACATGCACCTGCAGGGCTGCCTGCAAGCACCACCTGAAAGGATGAACATCAATTTCTATGGTGGGCAGAAGGCAGAAACCAGGGCTGCCACTCCTGCCCCATCTTTCTAAGGTCACACACACAAGTTTTGCTTTCCAAACAAGTTTTAGAGAAGACAGGAGAAGGGGGGAAAGCGATGGGTGGGATACCAATGTCGTGCACCTGGTTTGCTGGGTATGTAATTCCCTCACTGCACACTTCAAGGATGGCTCAAATCCTTCCACAGACCTCAATTTGTTAGAAGGGGTTGAGCCTGACTGCTGGCATGCAAAGCATTAATTAGAAAAGGTTTCAGATGCTTATGGACAGAAAAGATAACTCACAAAAGCAGGTTAATGAATTAATGTGTGTGACTATTATAATTTCATTTTTAACAGGCAACACTGCTTTTTGATGGAGTATCTCAATCTGTGGAAACTTCTCCTCCCTGTCAGTAATCCAAATGCTTATGCCAGCTGTGGGTGGAAGGTGAGCAAAGTCAATTCCTTTTTTTCTCCTGCCACTACAATCTATTTCCACAAGACATGTGACTCCAATAACTTGAATTTTCTCATTAGCAGGCAGGATGTTGTTTATGGCCACACAGGGTGATGGCCAGAAATTAAAAAAAGGCTCCATCAAAGCTGTCCCATGCCTCAAAGACAACATTAATGATGTTTGGACAATAGATTATACCAGAACATTAAATCAGACCTCTGAGCACAAGACATATCCATTTAAAGTCTCGGAATATGACTAACCACAGAGCTTTGAAGTTTTCACAGAAAACCCTACAGATAATCAAAAGTTTCCTACTACATCTGCATTCATTGTGTTGCCCAAACATGGATGGAAACACACTGATAGAAGAGGTCTCCTGCTGCTAGGCTTTGTAAAAGCACCAGCTCTCTTTGCTAGGAACAAGTCCCAGATGAGAATTACAGGGAACAAGCTCAGTGCAACACACTGACCTCTGGACCTCACAGATGTCTGCAGAAAGTGCAGTTTCTGGAGAAATAGAGGGGGAATTTGTGTAGGCTGTATGTTCCTATAGGTCCAGACCTGTGTGACTTCAACCAGAACTGATGCTCATGACAGCACAGCCCATGGCCTGCCTGCAGAGCTCCCACCAAACTGCTCGAGGGAAATGTCCGTCCTTGGCCAAGGGATTTTTCACCAAGTATGTGCTCCTCAGAGAATGTTAATTTTTCATTTAAAAAGTGAGCAAAATACCCATTTCACCCCACAAAGATCTGCAGACCTTCTCCAACCAGAGCTTTGAAGCAGCAGCATCAAATACATCTACGCCACTTGATAAAAGTTTGCACAACTGTGAAGTGAACTCTAGCCTCTCATGATGGCTTACTCTCACATATTCCTATAATTCAGGTTTTCCCTAATCACAAATTGTCCTTTTCATACCACTTGCCCAGTTTGTGGAGGCCATCTGAAATCCTGACCCTCTCTGCCAGGCTGCTGTGAGCTCTTCCCAGCTGGAGTTCATCTTCAGAGTGATCTGCACTTTCCCTTTTCCATCCTCCAGGAAGTTAAGAAAAATGCCAAATAACATCAAACCAAAACCAGACTGTTGCAGAACCTCACCAGGCTCAGCATCCTGCTTTGTGAGCAAACCATCTCCAACTGGGGTCTTGCAATGGTGTTTTGGGCTATAAAACTCAAATGAGGCACTTTGGGTGCCTTCTGTTTCCTTCCTCATACAAAAGGTCAAGTGTACAGATGAGTGAGCAACCAGGTTACATTTTCTGTGGTACCATTTTGGCCATATTATGGCCACACACTGACCATGAGACCCTGAATCCAATGTCTGACCTGCACCTGTGTGCATCTGACCCCTACCAACCTTAAGAAATTAAATGGTCCCCTAGTGCTCCATTAATGTGCATGCTGTTCCCTTTCCTACTTTATTCCCCTAGGTGGAAATCCTCAGTGGAAGAGAGAAAAGCCCAAAGCCATGGCAGATGTCACTGGCACCACAGAAAACAACAGCCATGGATTTGTTGAAAGAGCCACAGGATGTGCCTACAACGCTCTCCCACTTCTGCTTCCTCTCCCCACGGCTCTGGCAGGTGAGAGGCCATTCCACATTTCCCCTGTATACAGAAACCAGGAACCTTCTTGACTAAAGAGAAGTTCATCCAAATGTGAGTTGTCATTGCACCCCCATTTCTCACTCAATCACCCTCCTGTGAAGCAAACCTCACATCCCTTTTAATCAGACCAGGATCTGCAGTCACCACCAATTTAGGGGCACATGGGGCTGAGGACAACATGCTGGGAGCATCTCCTGCCTGCCCACGTGCCTGTGACCAGTGCAAGGCATCTGTGACCTTTCAGCTTATTAATATTAATGCCACTAATTGCAGCTGACAGGGCAATTGGGCTGAAAATCATCCAAAACAAAACAGGAACCAGCAACTGAGGCGGATCGGTGAAACCAGCAGAGGCCTCGGTCAGTTGTTTGCAGAGTCAATTATCCACATCCCATGGAAAGTGCACTTCAAAAGGACGAGCTTCGGAAGGAGGAGGGAAGGAAATGTGATAGGGTCTATATTTGGCACTCTGATCTTCAAACGAGGCAAGCAAGATCATTTTATACATTTTTTTCTGCAAGGAGATCTTTTTCTCCTTTCTCTTTTTCAAACCAGATTGCTCCCTCCTTGTTCATTACAAAATATTTGTCTGAAAAATTTTGCTCTCAATCAATGTATGCAACCCCACAGCCTCTAAATCCTGCCTTTAATGATCCTGCTCTCAGCTGGCTTGCAGAGGGCTGGAGCTGAAGTGCTATAAACAATCTTCCCTGTGTCATGCTAGAAGAAAAGAATCCGGTTCCTTCTCTGTGCCGTGTCAGCCTTATGGGAAATGCACAATAAAGAGCAGTAACAATTTATTTTCATCATTAAATACTCAATAAGTAGAAAGCAAATAATGCATTTCTCAAGTGGTTGAGCTGATCTAAATAAACAATAGGGGAAAAAATTACTCAGAGCCACATCTGAGCTATTCCTGTGATTCTTCACAAATCAAGTCCTTCCAGTTGCTCTTACCAAAAGAATGTAATAAACAGTAAAAACCACCTAACAAGTTTGAAATCGAAGAGCTTTCAGGACGAGCATCCTCCATTCACCTGTGCAGGGGGACCACAGGAGGCTGTACACCAGCCCAATGTAGCCAGAGGAGGAGGAGGAAGATGCTCACAACTCTGATGTCTTTCTATCCATCACAGATGCCTGGGAGGAGGCACCAGCTTTCCTCTGGTTGCCATTGCTGCATCTCCTCTCTTCCCCAGGAGGTTTGGGCTTTTCTTGTACTTTCCCCCACCTCTCACCCTGTGGAACAGCATGAAAGCACGAGGTTTTTGGCACTCAGGACTCCCCTTATGAGGGCAGCCCCTCCATGAAGCCCAGGGCTCCAGAATGGGAACTCAGAGAGGTTGGAGAAGGGGCTCAAGGAGAAGCTGTGGTTACACAGGGTCAGGCCATTATGCAACAGCACAGAGCACGGCAGCCCTGCCAAGCTCCAGGCAACCTGGAGCTCGTTACAGATTAGTTAAGTCTTGGCCAAATTCAATAAGCCTGTTCACAAGCTTAAGGTTAAGTAAAGCCTGGCACCGAGGCAGGGGCTAAATAGTGCAAAAATGGAAAACCACCTTAAGAAACAGCTCCCTGAAGACAGTCCCATATTGCACTCTGCTTGTGATTAGAGATTTTAATTACAAAGGTGAATTGTGAAGGCTTGAAATGGTGAGATTTTTTTCTTTTCCAAAATAAGTGAGCCCACACATTCCCTCCTGGAAGGTACTTGCTGAGATTTGCTTTCAGGGGAACAGCTGGAAGTGTTTGTCTTGCAGCACATTTCCCAGGTCTGACCTCAGCATTTTCAGGATCCTGTGTGATGTGTAAGACGTGGAGTGCCAAAGAATAATTATATATCCTTGGCATAATTATCTCTGCTCTCTATCTTTTTCCCATTTCTCCTTCCACCACTAAACCCTTCTGGCATGAGTTCTGCACTCCAGCTGTTTGCCTTGGATGCCAGTCCAAGCACACACCCAGAACGAGGTCCTGGTGAGGGGGCTGCAGATATCCAAGCACACCACGTGGAGAAACCAGGAATGGTGCTCACAGCCTGGCCCCACCGTGCCATCCTCATCTGAACACACAGTGAGATAAATTCCACTCCTCACCAGCCACTTGCTTACATTTCCCTCCTCCAAACTCTCAGCCCAGGGCAAGGTACAAGCCCAGAACTTCTGAGCTCCTGACTCCCCCATGGGCAAGTCAAGCCCTGTCAGGCTGGTAACTCTCAGAGGTTGTGGTCTATCAGGTGGCTGTTGGGTGTCCTAAACCAAATTAATTCCTACACAGGCTGGAGTGCTCTAGAGCAGAGAAGGAGTGAAATTCTCCTCCCAAAAGCCCCTGAAATACAAATTCTTCTCCTGCCTGCAGAATAAGTTCAGCCATAGTCTGGTAGTGACCAAACTCCCCCAAACACACATACCAACCCACAGCTTATCACATGAGAGCAGCATATTCACTTGTCAAAGGAAAGTTAGGCATGCCTGGCTTAAATGAGGTAAAATGTGGATGCCAAAGCACCACCAGCAATAGGTTTTTCAGCATCTCAGTGAGCAATTGCAGATACACAGGGTTAACCATCCACACAGGAGCTGTGGATGTGCAGAGATGGGTGAAAGCCATGAATGTTGCCCAAACCCCAAGGACTTTGTCTTTCTGTTCCCTCCACTCCCCCCATGCAAACACTGAAATTATTTAACAAACAGCACAGGGTTATTTGATGCAACAGCTCTGAAAGAC